CAAAGGCAGAGATTTATAGAGCAGCCGCCTTTTGTTTCTTTAGAGAAGAAGAGGTAAGTAAGTTGCAATATTCTCCAGTTCAACCCAAATAAAACACTTTGGAGAGAATAGCCATTGCAGAATTTATGTAGTCACTACATTATGGGCACTGGTGTAAATCTTTCTTTAACTATCATGGGAGGTTATGGGGCATTGTTGTCTCAGAATAACAGTTGGGATGGCAGAATGTTAGAAGGAGCTGACAGTTTAGCATCCAAAACCACAGTTAAGAGACCCTGAAATGGATCAGTGCGCTCTCTCTGAACTCCTGGCAACCTTGGCTGTTGTTTATTTCTTGGGAAAGACCTAATAACTTTTCACATTACTTTGGATTTCTAGATCCTGGTCTTCAAACTTTCAGTTTAACAAGTCCCTAGATTCCACATGCATAGAAGTGCATATGTGCAGGGGGGCTCTGTTCACATAACCGAAAGAAGGGACCTTGCTTAGTCTTCCTCTACTGGAAATAACTCAAGTGGTGACACTTGAATGAGCCTTCTCTGTGATGGCACCCTGCACACCAAGCTTTGAGATGCCAACTGTGAAACAGATGTAAATACCGGTTTTACAAAAAATAAACAAATGAAGAAACTGGCATGTTTTATGGAATTTATTTTTTGCTGCCTTGATATCTCTTGATGGAGAGCTATAAACATTTTAACAAATAAACAAATAACTCGGGAACCCTAGAAATGAAGGGTTTGTGGATTCTAGGCAAATACCGTTCATTGGAACATTAGAACATCTATGTCTTTTCCCATCCTAAAAGGGCATAGATAAGGTGACTTGCACAACTAAAACCAAATTATGCAATAAAAGCAAGTGGACTGCCAACAGTTGTAGAGTAGTACCGAATACATCTGCTTCCTTCCGTGTATTCAGAGTAACAAGTGGAAAGTGCCACAAGATACACTTAAAATATACTTGTTTGCAATTCAATCTTGGATAACCAAGGGCAGATTGGATGCACTGCAATCTGAGAATTTTTAACAGCTATATGGCTTGCACTGGGCATGGAGGAACAATTTGAATCAAACTTTCTTGATGGGTTTATCTTCTTAAAACATCTTTAATCCTCCCTGAAATCAAGAGGGCATGTAATCAATGAGTCATACCCACTAAAAAATCATGAATCTGGATGGAATCTTTCATCTGTTAACTGACTGGCAGAGGCAGATAGTTTTGTGTTCAGTTATTAGTATCTTACTTAAACACACCCACACACATCCTGTACATTCAAATAGCTAATATAGCAGGTTTGAATGTGCAAACAGAAAATGGTGATCAGATCTTAGCCTTTAAAAAATCATTTTTATATATTGTGGACCATTTTACAAATTCTCTTGGGTTTTGTTTTAACAAATGCGCATTATCTGCTTCCCACTTGTTTAATGTACTTTAAAGGTAAAGGGACCCCTGACCATTAGGTCCAGTCGTGGACGACTCTGGGGTTGCAGCACTCATCTCACTTTATTGGCTGAGGGAGCCGGCGTACAGCTTCCGGGTCATGTGGCCAGCATGACTAAGCCACTTCTGGCGAACCGGAGCAGCGCACGAAAACGCCGTTTACCTTCTCACCAGAGCAGTACCTATTTATCTACTTGCACTGTGTGCTTTTGAATTGCTAGGTTGCCAGGAGCAGGGACTGAGTAATGGGAGCTCACCCAGTTGCAGGGATTCAAACTGCCAACCCTAGGCTCTGTGGCTTAACCTTACCATACTGTAAATCATAACAGTAGAAATGTGAGACTCCAAAAACATGTTTCTGAACTTTTTCAGTTAGGAGATCAAAATTTCACATGTTTTGAAGTCTGATATAACTCTGATCTAAAAAATAATAATGCAGGACTCAATCCAAGGCAACCATTTGCATGTACGGTTCCTTTGCTTTTCATCTTTGTCACTAGATCTGCTCCCATGTACTTGTACATGATGATCCTGGCATTCAGAAATTTACAAGGGAAGCGTTCCCTGGTATGGAGATAAAGTGCTGTGGAAAAGCTCTCTTGTTCATTTTTTTCATGCCAGGATGGTGTTGAAAGGTGTCTCTAGCACCTAGAGGCTTCTTCTTTGACTCACAGAGGAAAAAGCTAAATTTAAAAGAAAGCAGTTGTTTGCTTCACAGCAGAAAGCTTTATAAGTTGGAGTGATTCCTTTGAAGTGCAAGCAGGCTTCTAAGCTCACAGAGCTGCACTGCCTTCTTCTCCGATCGCCCTTTCCCACCATGCAGGAACCGGGGCACAATCACCTCCTTCCGCAACTGCGCTCAGGTTGGAACAGCATTCAAAGGTGAACACAAAGGGTAGAAACAGAGCTTTTTGTGACCAACTGCAACCCCCCTGACTTGTGTCTATCATGGCAGCTGCTTAGGAGACATGGGGTTCCAGAAGGTACCTGGTGCCATGTGATGAAGGATGCATAGAATCATAAAACTGTAGAGTTGGAAGGGAGCCTGAGGGTCATCTAGTCCAACCCGCTGAAATGCAGGGCTCTCAACTCAAAGCATCCATGATAGATGGCCATCCAGTCTCTGCTTAAAAATATCTGATGAAGGAGAGTCTACCACCTTCTGAGGGAGTCTGTTCCACTGCTGAACAGCTCTTACCACCAGATAGTTCTTCTTGGTGTTGAGGCAGACTCTCTGTTCTTGTAACTTGAATCCACTGGTTCAGGTCATGCCCCCTGGAACAGGAGAAACAAGTTTGCTCCATCTTCCATTTGACAACCCTTTAAATGTTTATAAATGACTATCATATTTCAGTCTCCTGTTTTCCAGGCTAAACATACCCAGTGTGCTGGTCCCGTGGGTTACTCAAGAGGCGAGGTCCAAGTCTGGTCTGTGGTCAAAGGTGCAATGTGAAGGCAGTCCGTAGTAGCTGAAGCTGGGTGCAGGGAGTCAGGTGAAGTCAGGAACAGGCATGCAAGCAGGGAGCCAGGGTGGGTCAGCAGCTCAGGCAGGTAAGCAGGACGGTTCAGGCAGGAACTAACAACCAACAATGTTGCTCCCACAACTTGGGACTGGGGCTGGCTGGCTTTTATCTGCCCCGAGGCATAGGGTGGCCCCAATCCTCTGGTGACTCACCTCTCCTGGCCTGGAGGCAAGCACTCCTCCTGCGGGAACTTAGTTCCCTCTACCTCTGTGCCCTGAGCCTCTGTAGCTCAGGAGAGGTTGGAGGGTTACCGGACCCAGAGGCAACCTCAGCTTCCTCTGATGGGGCAGAGAGTGGAGCACTTGCAGGCAATGGGTCCTCCATCACCTCAGGAGCCAGAGCAGACTCAGCTGCACCTGAGGATCCAGCACAGGTGAGGACCCTTCAGGCTCATGCCCCAGCCCTGGCTCAGCTGGTTCTAGAGGCGGGGACTCCTGTGCAGACTGGGATCCCTCAGGTTCAGCATCCGAGTCCGAATCCCAGGCCATCACACCAGTGCCCTCAACCATTCCTCATAAGGCTTGGTTTCCAGCCCTTTATCATCTTGGTCACCCTCCTTTGCACATGTTCTAATTTGTCAATGCCCTTCTTTCATTATGGACACAATATTTTAGGTGTACTCTGACCAGGGCATAATGTTAAGCATTGTGTGATGTTTTCCCCTCCAGTCTATTTCCACTAGGGAAACTATCACTCCTATTTTCTTTCTCTGACCCTCTCGCCCACAGAGTGTGCCTGTAAGCTGCTTTCAGTAGGGTACACTTTAGCTACACATATTTTATTTTAGAAATGAAACATATATGCAGAATAGTGAAAACAGATGCCAGACAAATGGAATTTTGTGTTAAAAAGAAAGTGGAGGATATTCCCCAAGAGCTGTGCTATGCTCTGATATAAAAGCAAACAATATGCTTTTTGTTCTCTCCCTCTCTTTCATACACACACCCTTTGACACACTCAGGCAACCTCTCTCCAAGATTTCATCTTGTGATATATTTAAAAAAACACACACCTCAGCAAACAGAAGGTATGTAGTAGAACAAAAAGATTTTAAGGTCAACTCATAGATGAAGGTAGCAATAATAAGATTTTAACCTATGTGTAAACAAGATTTTGCCACCATCTGGGGGCAGGCAGGGGGAAATCACCATCACAGAGCTTTATGCAACATTGCAGAGAGTTTTCACTTACCCCTTAGAAAGGTATGCCATCAAAGCAATGAAGAACAACTGACACTCAAATAAATACCCCTGTGAGGCAAATCCTTGCCAGGTTTAGGTCTGATCCCCACCCCCACCGCCACTGCCAAGACTGTATACACTTCCAGCCTACTCCAAAAATTGGAGCATATGGACGATTAGAAAATAACTGAAGATGCCAACAGATCCAAATGCAGTGTGTAATACTTGTCCTAACAGTCATGTTTTCAAACACAAGTAAAACCTAAGGCTAGGTAGGCAACATGAAAAAGTCTTTGAAATCTCATCATTTTGCCCCTGCCTCACTCTGGAATGTTTATGGGTCTGTGATGATATTCACTTTTCTCCCTGTTTTATGCCAACTGTTTCAATGCTGCTTTTTAGAGTTACATATCATCATCATCATCATCATCATCATCATCATCATTATTTCTTTTTTGTTTCCCTGAGAACATTAGTTAATGGGTGACTGCTTGTTTGTTTGTTTGTTTTATTTTATTTATATCACATCTTTCTCTTAAGGTGTCTCACAGAATAAGCTCACAGAACAAGCTAAAACAGATGCCATTTAAACCACACAATAAATGTTTAAATATAAATATATAAAAAGTAACCCTATTAAAGAGCAGCACTGAAAACAATCAAAACCATCCTAAAAGCACACACGCGCACACACAAACACAAAAGTACCACATTCACCCTCAGAAATCCGTGTCACACCAGACAATTAGTGGTCAAGTTTGTTCCTGTTGGAAAAAGTATCATAGCATCATAGATTTGGAAGGGACCATGAGGGTCAGCCAGTCCAACCCCCTGCAACGCAGGAATCTGCTGCCCAATGTGGGACTTGATCCTGCGACCCTGAGATTAAGAGTCTCATGTTCTACTGACTGAGCCAACAAAAATGGTATTTGACAATAACAGGAAATAAGAGAGGGGCCAGCCTAGAATCCCATGGAAATGAGTTTCCACAATCTGGGAGCAGCCACTGAGAAAGTCTTTTCCAACCCTAGACCCTCTCACCTGAGTGTAGGTCCCATTTAATTTAGTAGAATGTAGAGACATCACCTTGCCAACAAAGGTCCGTATAGTAAAAGCTATGGTTTTCCCAGTAGTGATGTATGGAAGTGAAAGCTGGACTATAAAGAAGGCTGATTGCCAAAGAATTGATGCTTTTGAATTATGGTGCTGGAGGAGACTCTTGAGAGTCCCATGGACTGCAAGAAGATCAAACCTATCCATTCTGAAGGAAATCAGCCCTGAGTGTTCACTGGAGGGACAGATCCTGAAGCTGAGACTCCAATACTTTGGCCACCTCATGAGAAAAGAAGACTCCCTGGGAAAGACCCTGATGTTGGGAAAGATGGAGGGAACAAGGAGAAGGGGATGACAGAGGACGAGATGGTTGGACAGTGTTCTCAAAGCTACCAGCATGAGTTTGACCAAACTGTGGGAGGCAGTGGAAGACAGAAGTGCCCGGCGTGCTCTGGTCCATGGGGTCACGAAGAGTCGGATACGACTAAGCAACAACAACAACAACAACAACAACAACACCAACACTTCTGAGTAGACACAGTTAGGCTTATGCTGTCATGCATTAGTAGTCATAGATGGTTTAATCTCCTGTTGGAAGCTGCCCAGAGTGGCTGGGGAAACCCAACCAGATGGGCGGGGTATAAATAATAATAATAAATAATAATAATAATAATAATAATAATAATAATAATATCCTTGGTGTGTTAAATCAGCTCTGTGGTTGTTGCCAACTTTCAGCTAACTAGGTAGTTTTGTACTGCGGTTGTTTTACTGTCATTAATTTTTAGTGCACTTGTTTGCTAATACCTTCTCTTGTTAACCACCCAGAGGATATTGCTAACTGGGCAGTAGACAGATGATATAAAGAAATAATTAATGAAAGCTTCTAGCCACAAACTGGCTTTTTTTTTTTTTAGATACTTATATTTTATTGAAAATTTCAGGGAGAAAATGAAAGGAAAGGAAGAAAACAGAAATTAAAATTTAAAAGAAAGAGAAAAAAATAGTACTTAAATTGCGATACAATATGAAATATAGCCATACAAGTAATAGTTATTCAAGCTATTGAAAGATTACTAACAAGGCATTATAATGTTTATAGAGGCATTAAAAAAAATGCAGTCCAGATATCACTGGCTTGCATTTAGAGTTAGATTCTGTCAGTAGGAAAAGCATTAATTGCTAAATTCTGGAGGAGCTGAACTTTAAAGGAAAGTAAGGAAGCTGGCGTTTGTAAGGTTAAACTATTGACTGCGAAGTTTGGGCCATGTTTGTGAGCACCTGAGACCCAGAAAACAGCTTGCTGTAGTTAAAGCATTGTTCTGACTTCCGAACTATTCTCATCAGAGAGGGTAGGATGAATGAATGAAGTTAATTTGAGCACATTAAGAAATCTAAATTCTGCAGAGTCTTTTCTATATTTAGTTACTAATTGGTATTTTGTTTGGACTATGCCCAGCTGAGGAAAGTCAGATTTGGTTTGATTAAAACATTTCTGTGCCACCTTGACAGCTGCATGTAAAGGCCTTAAGGCAATAGCACTAAAATACATTTTCCCTTTGAAAATTGTAGGTCTGAAATAGGCTTTTCAGCTAAAATTGAAGAGGTGTGGAATATATGTAACAACACACCTGGTTTAAATGTGTAACTCAAAAGATAACAAACTTTTTGAATTATTTAAAATTGAAGGTTGTACATGGTACCTTTCCTACCATAAACAGACCCATTGAAGTCAATATACAGAGCTAATATAGGTTCACTAAATTCAATGGTTCTACTCCAAGTAGAATTTATTTATCTATTTATTTATCCATTTATGTACCGCCCTTCATCATAAGATCTCAGGGCAGCTCACAGAATAAAATGCATGATAGAAACAAGTAAATAATTAAAACAAAGCAGCAAAACAATACCCAACCCCTTCCCACAGACACATTTAAAATGCTGTAGAATATTAATCGGCACCTGGCATCTAAAATATATATATTGAAGGTGCCAGGCAAACCTCCCTAGGAAGAGCATTCCATAAACAGGGAGCCACTACAGAGAAGGCCTGTTCTTGTCTTGCCACTCTCCGGACCTCTCATGGAGAAGGTACGCAAAGAAGGGCCTCAGATTATGAACTCAGAGTCCAGGATGGCTTATATGGATACAACACAATAGAAGGTTGTATGGTTCGTTTTGCACTCCCAAGTTCTCCCTCTCTATGGTTTTTGTTGCATTCTAACCATCATTCATCTCAACATAAGCTGTGCTGGAATCTCTTCCATAAGACTGACACTCTTAAAATCTTAAATTAGATAGAAGTCCTACCATTAGGTAGAGTGAGGCAGCTATGTCAGGCAGCTGATTTTGGATCTCATGTACAGGCAGCAAATGCTTAGTTTATTTAAATGACACGCATTTTCTATGTCTGGTGTCAAAACAACTTGGCCAGACTTGAGCCTATGCACTTTCTTCCATCCAACATTTCTCTGGTGAAAATAGAGACATCCCATTCCATAATGATAATTATACTATTTATACCCGACACATCTTACTGGGCTGCCCAGCCACTCTGGGTGGCTTCCAATGTATATAAAAACATAAAAAATCAAACATTAAAAACAACTTCCCTATACAGGATTGCCTTCAGACAGCTCAGGGGTCAGATAACTCTAACATTTCTCCAATGAAAATAGGGAAAAGTGGGACATTTTGGGATGAAATCAGAAATTGGGGCGGCTTCTCTAAATCATGGACATCCCTGGAAAAGAGGGCACTTGGAGGGTCTGCAGTTTGACTTGGGGAAGCTATGGGCATGTGTCATATGTTCAGGCAGCAAAATGTCTTGCAACCCCTGACCACAATAAGCTCTCCTCCTATGTTGTAAACTTGTCGTTTCCAACACATAATCTCTTCCCATGACCAGGGTGAAACACAGCAGTACAATTAATGTTTTTAATTAGATTATTTAAAAACCATAGACATGTCACACATTACTTTAAATATTTCCTACAGCTATCTATTTGCACATCAGTACTGCACGCACTGTGCACCCCACTGTGAGTAGGGATGCAGGTGGCACTGTGGGTTAAACCACAGAACCTAGGGCTTGCTGGTCGGAAGGTTGGCGGTTCAAATCCCCGCAACGGGGTGAGCTCCCATTGCTTGGTCCCTGCTCCTGCCAACCTAGCAGTTCAAAAGCACATCAAAGTGCAATTAGATAAATAGGTACCACTCTGGCAGGAAGGTAAACGGTGTTTCCATGTGCTCCTCTGGTTCGCCAGAAGCGGCTTAGTCATGCTGGCCACATGACCCTGAAGCTGTACACCGGCTCCCTCGGCCAGTAAAATGAGATGAGCGCCGCAACCCCAGAGTCATCTGTGACTGGACCTAATGGTCAGGGGTCCTTTTACCTTTACCTTTAGTCACTATTAAGTTTGAGCCGTATTTTATGCTGATTCATTTTGGTTGTTGGCATCCCATACCTTGGGAAAGGCTGTAGCTCAGTGGTACAACACCTGCTGTGCCTGCAGAAGGGTTGTTCTTTAATCCCTGTCATCTTCAGAACCTGGGAGAGCTGCTGCCAGTAGACAACACTGAGCTTGAAGGACCAGTTGTCTGACTTGGTATAAGGAAGCTTCCTGTGTTCCTTTTATTATCTTGAAAACCACTTTGAGATTTTTGGATGTTAAGCGGTCTATAAATGTTTTTAACAAGTAAATAAGTAAAAAGTTCAACATTGATGAGAAAGATAGATTTCAGAAGTTCTCACTTCAATATTTTCAACATGTGAGTACCTGTGCAAAGAAATAAAAAAAGGTGCATAATACAAACAACTTGTGTTTTCTCGTTGCCAGATGAGAACAGGCCCTTGATGAGGGGAACAAGGATTTGGACGTTCCCTAATAGTCTAGGAAAATAACTTCACAATTACTTGGGATTGCCAGCAGTGTGGCCTGCTTTTGCTGGACAATCTAGTTATCTGTGTCTTCGCTTTTTTTGTACAGCTCAGCACTTCTAGTGCACTAGTTTTTAGCACACTAATTCAAGGTCCTTCCAACCATCCCATCTATCAAGCACGTATCCTCAATAAGACTGCATTTAAGGCAAGCTGCAAGCTATGCACAAGCAAAGTCCCAGTAGCTCTGTTCTCAGACTTGCATTTGCATATTTGAACTCGAAAGTATTTTTAGTCTTGAGTTTCTATGGCCATTTGGGAACACATGAAACTGCTTTTACCTCAAAACAGGTGTGTATAGCTGCAGAATCCTGTCTCTTCTCTTCATGGTATTTTATTTTTTTTAAGACTATGACATATAGAGAAACCCTTCACATACAAAGGAAAATCGTTTTCCTCTCTTTCATGTCCCTGAAAATTTATCTCTTTGAAAACGATGTAGCACAAATGATTGGCATTGAAATACAAAAAGGTTTAGGCAAATAGTCCCCCTCCCCACCCCATTTGGATTCTGAATCTAAAATCAACACATGCTTGAAGTATTGTTCTGATTCTTTGTTTTTGATTGACTTTATTGAACATTTTCTAGAGAGCCAAAGAACGAGGGGGAGGGAACATGGAAGCCAGAGCATTTTGAGGGCAAACCCCAGCTTGGTAACCTTTGACTCCAGTAATGTAGTTTCATCCCTGATGGGGAAGGGAGTAGATTAGACAAGGATCCCATAGAGGGACATATAATTTATTTTTACTATGGAATGTTTATTTGCACAGTGTAGAAAATATAAGATTTATTTGCACAGCCACAATCCCTCAGGTATGCTATGAATATAATTACTAGAACACATAAATATATTTATACTATACCAGTAGGTCTTCAGTACCACAAATCTGATTTCTCCCATCCCCCCAAAACTGGTAGACTGGATGTTTT